AACACAAAGTAAGTCATAGATCAACGTTATAGAGCATCACTTACAGGTTTAGAACCATTGACATCAACCAAATCCAGTCATATAGTCGAACGTGATCTTAAGCTCTTTACTTCGGAAGTTACATAATTATCACAATGCCTACTTCCGAGTGGGTGAGAAGATGGTTTGGAAATAACACAATAATCATAATACCTATTTCCAACTTACACCATCCTTCACAAATAATAATAAAATGAAACAACATTCACGCCCAACCTGTCAATGATAAACTCCAAACTAGAATCATGAAGGTTTTTGAGTTAACTAACCAACAATTTCGAAAGAAGTACTTTACCAAGTGTACGGGACTATTTACCCTATTCAATCTGTCATCAAAAGTAGAACCACACAGTTCATTCATTAGTCATAGTAGTCTCCGTTTAAAACAATCAAATAAGCATGTAAGGTTAAGGTGTAAGGCAGAAAATGTACTTCATTTCATTAGAGAAAGTTTTCGTGCAAGAAGAGGGTTTGAACTCCAATAGTGGAATTTAGGATAAATCCCAAAGTTCTGGCTTAAGGGGGAAACGTTGTTGCTGCTTGCTGTCTCGACTGCTGTTTGCTTCGGTCGAGAGGGTGCAGAGAGTGCAGCAAGTGCTGCTGTTTGGCGAGGCAGTAAACGAACAACACAACGGGCGGCTGTCTTGGCGAGCGGCGAACGGACAGCACAACGGCTCGACACAGCAGCTATCAAGGCTGCTGTTTTCGTCGGATAAATGGAGAAAATGCAGGCGCTGCTTCTGGTTAGGCGTACGAAGGAACAGCAGCAAGGTCTGCTCTATGCTGTCTTGCTAGGGGGGTCGCTGCAGGCACAGAACCGCAAATACACGCAGACTCGAACGAAGGTAGCGGCTGCTGGTTCCTCGCTGCTGTTGCTGCACGCTTGACAGCAGCCTGTTGCTGCTTCTTCGTTGTTGTTCAAGGAAAGAAAGGGGGTGCAGCTTGGCCTCTGTGCTACCTCTGCGTTTGCTGAAACGGCTGCGCCGGTTGGCAGTCACGAAGAAGGTCCGGCAGCGGCGCTGTTGCTGAAGGAMAGTCAAAATGAAGGCAGAAGACAGCAGCAAACGTTGCTGTGCTGTTCGAGCAGACTAGATCGAGAGCTCGTGGGTAGGACCTGCTGCTGTTGCTGTTTGACTGTGGAGGTGAGAAGGGGCACAGCAGCCCTTCCTCCTTGCTGTTGCCACCTGGTTGAGATGACGAACACGGTGACAACCCCTCTTCCTTTCTTCTCTCCTTTCTCTTCTACTCTTTTTCTTTCTTTTCCTCTGTCTCCTTCCTYCCCCCCCCCCCCAAGCTTCATACTAAGCAAGAAAACATTGGGTAAGGACCCAAATGTAAGAGGGGTCTCATTTCCAAGAGGTAGTAGTTAGCCTCTTTTTTTCTTACACCACTCAACTAAACCAATCAGTCACAAAAGAGAAAGTACACACATACAAATATCTATATATATACTCTYTTCAAGACTAAAAAGAAAGCATGCTTAAGGTTTCATAAAATAAAATAAAAATAAACTAACACGTGAAACTATCGGACGAGGCGAGAACTCAGGAGGCCAACGGAGACGGGGATGGGTAAAATCACCGGTGTTACAATCCTCCCCACCTTGGGTTTAATTTCGTCCTCGAAATTCTTAAGTCACGCGAATAGGCGAGGGTAGCGTCTCTTCAAGTCCTCTTCTGCTTCCCAAGTCACGTTAGACCCTCGATGATGCTTCCATTGCACTTTGACCAAGACAACCTCTTTGTTCCTCAACACTTTGGTTTTGCTTTCCAAGATGGCCTCCGGTTCTTCCACGCATTGGTTGTTCTCGTCGACCCGAATTTCCGATAATGGTATTACACTTTCTTCGTTCGCTAAACACTTACGAAGGTAACACACGTGAAATGTGTTGTGGATTCCGGCCATCTCAGGTGGTAGTTCCAATTTGTAAGCTTGAAGCCCCACTCGAGCCAAAACTTTAAATGGTCCGAGAAAACGGGGGCTGAGCTTCCCACGCTTTCCAAAATGGATAATGCCTTTCCAAGGGGATACCTTAAGCATAACACGGTCGCCCACTTGGAAATCTATAGGTCGGCTCCTCTTATCTGCGTAACTCTTCTGTCTGTCATGCGCCGCCTTTAAGCGTTCCTGAATACATTTCACCTTGTTGGACGTTTCTTGCACGATTTCAGGGCCGGCGAACTGTTTCTCACCCGCCTCGAGCCAACACACAGGAGTCCTACATTTTCGTCCATACAGTGCTTCGAATAGTGCCATCCCGATACTAGAATGATAACTGTTGTTGTAGGCGAACTCCACAAGGGGTAGGTGGGAGTCCCAATTTCCGCCAAAGTCGATAACACACGATCGAAGCATATCTTCCAGAGTTTGAATAGTCCGTTCACTCTGACCATCAGTCTGAGGATGGTAAGTTGTACTCAATTTCACCCTCGTTTCCAGTTCTTTCTGCAGACCGCTCCAGAAATGGGAAGTGAATCGACTATCCCGATTTGACACTATGGACAACGGTATACCGTGTCGTGAGACAACTTCATCGATGTATAACTTGGCAAGCTTGTCCATTGGCAAAGTTTCACGCATAGCCAAGAAATGAGCGCTCTTTGTCAGCCGATCAACCACTACCCATATTGTATCATGACCCCTTAAAGTCTTCGGCAGTTTGGTCACGAAATCCATTGTAATGTGCTCCCACTTCCACTCGGGGATTTCTAAGGATTGGAGGCTACCATAAGGTCGTTGGTGCTCCGCTTTCACTTGCAAACAAGTCACGCACCTTTCTACATAGCGTGCCACGTCCAACTTCATGACAGGCCACCAATATGTCAATTTCAAATCCCGATACATCTTGGTGCTACCCGGATGAATTGAGTATTTAGACTTGTGTGCGTCCTCTAGCAGCAGTTCGCGATTGCCCCCAATATCGGGTACCCATATACGCCCTCGAAATAACTTCAAGCCGCGACCATCTTCTGACAACAGTAAGCGTTGTTTTACCATAACTTCGCTTTTGAGGTTTTCTTCTAGAAGTGCCTCGGATTGCGCCACTTTGATTCGATCGATTAAACTGGATTCTAAATCTATTATGGTAAGTACAGTTCTCATCCCTCTACTGTACTCTTTTCGACTCAAAGCATCCGCCACTACATTTGCCTTTCCAGGATGGTAAAGTAACTCACAATCATAGTCTTTGAGCAGCTCGAGCCAACGCCGTTGTCTCATATTCAAATCCTTCTGGTCGAAAATGTACTTCAAGCTCTTGTGATCAGTGAAGAGCGTACACTTGGTACCATAAAGGTAATGTTGCCAAAGTTTCAAGGCGAACACCACCGCCGCTAACTCCAAATCATGGGTGGGGTAATTTTTCTCATGAACTTTGAGTTGTCTTGATGCGTAGGCAATCACCCTTCCCCTTTGCATCAAGACACACCCCAACCCCAATTTTGAAGCGTCACTAAAAACTACGAAATCTTCGGACCCTTCCGGCAATGAGAGAACCGGGGCTTCACATAGCTTCTTTTGGAGGTTTCTGAAGGCTTGTTCTTGCTTCTCTGTCCAGATAAATTTCACATTCTTCTTAGTCAACGCCGTTAAGGCCGAAGCAACTTTGGAAAAATCTTGGATAAATCTCCTGTAATAACCCGCCAGACCCAAGAAACTACGGATTTCAGAAGGGCTCTTTGGTGGCTCCCAATTCATCATCGCCTCGATCTTTGTTGGGTCCACCTTCACCCCGTCACGAGTGACTATGTGACCTAAGAACTGAACCTCCTTTAGCCAAAAATCACACTTGGAGAATTTTGCATACAGTTTCTCCCTTCTCAACGTTTCGAGAACTTCCCGAAGGTGTTGCTCATGATCCGATTCGTCCTTGGAATAAATGAGGATGTCATCAATGAACACTATTACCGTCTTGTCAAGGAATGGTCGGCACACTCGGTTCATCAAGTCCATGAATACCGCCGGTGCATTCGTCAAACCGAAAGGCGTGACTAAAAATTCATAGTGTCCATAACGTGTTCTAAAAGCTGTTTTTGCCACATCATCTTCTTTCACCCGCACTTGGTGATATCCTGAACGAAGATCGATCTTAGAGAAACAACTGGCCCCCTGTAGTTGGTCGAAGAGGTCGTCAATCCTAGGGAGAGGATATTTATTCTTCACGGTTGCCTTATTGAGTTCTCGATAGTCAATACACATCCTCATGGTGCCGTCCTTCTTTTTCACAAATAAGACTGGAGCTCCCTAAGGTGACAAACTCGGTCTGACGAATCCTTTCTCAAGAAGGTCCTTCAATTGAGACATCAACTCTTGCATTTCAAAAGGAGCCAATCGGTAAGGGGCTCTTGCAAGCGGAGTGGTTCCTGGGATAAGATCGATTCGAAACTCCACCTGTCTAACTGGTGGTAAACCGGGTAAATCTTCTGAGAAAACATCAAGAAACTCGTTGACCACTTTCACCTCCTCAATCCTCTCTTTTTCTAGTTTGGCATCCATCACGTATGCTATGAATGAGGGATACCCCTTAGCTAAGCATTTGCGCGCCTTTGCCACCGATAGGAGTACTACGTCTCCCTTCTTCCTTTCTCCATAAACCAACACCACGCCCTCGCTCGGCAAAGGAATACGAATTAATTTCTTGGAACATAAGATCTCTGCTTGATTATTTGCTAACCAGTCCATTCCAATGATGATGTCGAACCCACCGATCGTCATGGGTATAAGGTCCACCCGAAATTCTTCACCCTCGATTCTCAACACGCAACCCCTAACAACCTCGTGTACTAGAACTCTACTACCATTTGCTAGTTCGATGACCAAGGCGTCTTCTAGAGTACTAGGAGGCGTATGCAAGAGTTGGTAGAATGTTGTGGACACAAAAGAACATGAAGCACCGGAATCAAAAAGTACGTGAGCAGGTATGGAGTCAATGAGGAACGTACCCGACACTACATCCGACGATGCCTTCGCTTCCTCCGCAGTCATCTGAAAGGCTCGACCGGTTGTCTTCGGGGTACTTTCTTTCCTTCCCTGGCCCCCTCCCGCCTTCAACTTCGGACAGTCATTTCTGAAGTGGCCCGACTCCCCACATCCAAAACAGATGGGTCCTTTGATGGGACATTCATTTCGCGTGTGTCCTGGCTTCCCACACTTATAACATTTAGCAGGAGAAAGGTTCGTGGTGCACGGGCCGTGGTGTTTAGTGCGGCATTTAGAGCACCATCTTGCCTCTTGCCTAGGGTAAACTCCTCGATGGTTGTTGTTGGGATGGCTTGGTCTCTTGGAAGGTGCGTACTGATTCTCCCACTTCCTCTTTTCACCACTTTCCCCCTTCTCTTCTCTTCCTTTGGCATAGATCGCTTCCATGACTTTCTCTTCCTCAATTGCCTCCCTAAGGGTGGAGGCCCTCGAGTTCCTAATCATAACCATCATGTCAGCGGGCAGTCCCTTGAGATAAGCTTTCTTTTTTTCTTTTTCTGATGGGGCCACATGTCCCACTAAATTCAGTTTCTCCATGAATAAACGTGTGTAGTCTCTTACTGACAAGTTTCCTTTCTTAAGGGTTCGGAACTCTCTTCAATACGGTCCATTTATTGTTCGTTGCAATATTCCTCCAATACTTTTTCCTTAATCGTGGTCCAACTCTTCTTGGCTAGTTCTTGAGCCTCTATAGTTGATATGACGATGTTCCACCAAGTAAGGGCCGCACCCCTAAACATTTGAGAGCCAAATTTTGCCTTTTGCCCTTCATCACAGTCACAAGCCCGGAAGGCCTGCTCGATCTCTCGAAGCCAATTCATGCATGTCACGGAGTCATCTGACCCCACAAACTCCGGTGGTTTGCAACTCAAGAATGTTTTGTAAGAACAAATCCTTCCCACTTGTCTTGCATCGATTGTTGCCAGTTCTTGAGTTGGAATTCCATTTCCAGTACCCCCGGATCCCACAATGGTTACGTTCTCCGCAACTGCCTCATGCTTGCGATTGTTGGCGTCTCTATCCTCTAACAGCTTCATAAAGAACTCCTGTTGCTGGGCCATAGCTCTGTTCATAACGCCCATCATTGTGCCCAACATTCTCGACTCTGGGGTTTCCTCTTCTATCACAGGGTTAGAGGTGACAAGGTTAACTTGGGAAACGCGGCCAACTCCATCACCCGAAGTGTTCTGCCTAGGGTGCACTCTTGCGGTTGTGGTCCGAGGCGGTTGATCCGCGGTGGATTCGGTCACCGCGAGACCTTCTGGTGAGGTATCCCGTCTACTCCGAGTATTCACCATAAAAGACTGCCATAAAAGAGAGTGGAAAGAGTTATGATAAGACGAACACGGGGTTAGCATAATACATACCGATGCATTCATAAATTTTTGTAATAACAGTAAGTTTAAGCATGCTTGTGTAATAACTTACTCAAAATAGCATTAGCTAGGTCAAATTTTGAATAGGTTATACATAAGAATTCTTAACACCATCGTCACAATTCATGAACGGGGTAGCTCCCAAGACTCTAGTGCTCTCCTATCCTAAAAGTTTCTACCCACATCTCACAACTAGCTCTCACGATCTCAGCTTAAGTCTAGGCGTCCTGTTCCCATTACCTAGTTCACTTAAACTAGTGCTCTGATACCAACTTGTAACACCCTAAAATAATAGATAAAGCGAGAACCGGAACTTTATATAAAATTCACCCAACGACAAGGGGGGTAAAAACATAGCGTTTACAACACGGCTACTGAGAAGATATTTAACAACCTACTAATCTAGATTATTCTATAACTAGATTAAAGACGGGTGTTTCTACCAATCTCCAAAAATGCCGTAACTTCAAAACGCTACCCTCAAAAGTAAATAAAGGTTGCAATTACAAAAGAGCCTTCCACGAACCGACGCTCCTCTCAACCCTTATGAGCCC